GCAAACAAACTGCTGATGTTGTGGGAGGGTTGGGTTTAGGAGAGGACAGCAATGCCTGAGGGAAAGTGACTGGAGCAGACATGGTGACAATGAGACATGGAAAGTGTTAGCTTGCTCTCAAGAAAATGTTGTACTTGGTAAATGATCTGGGAAGGGACCTGTCTCCTCGAATATGGTTTAAGGTGTGGGGTTTTTAATTCTGCACTGTGTGATGGAAGGAAAAGCCAGTGCCTTCTGATCTTGCTGCAGAGGAAGAACCTGTATGAACAGCAGGACATGCTTGTCCTCTCCAGAAGCTGCTCCTCACTTTTCTGTTCTGAGAGTTGGACTTCTCCTGAAAAGGATCCTGCCAGTCTTACAGGGGTACAGGATCTGTAGTTCTGAAGTGTAGCCCAGAATTTCCTACTTTGGTCAGAACATGGAATTGTACAAGAGCTGGGGCAAAGAGGAAGCTGCCCAGAGAAGCTGCGGCTGCCCCATCCCTGGAAGTGTCCAAGGCCAGATCCCTGGAAGTGTCCAAGGATGGGGCTTGGAGCAGCCTGGGCTAGTGTAGGGTGTCCATGGCAGGGGGTTGGAGGAAGTGGTCTTGAAGGTCCCTTCCAACCCAAACCATTCCACAGCTGCATGAGAATGCAGGGCTCAGGCACATTCCTCCCAACAGGACAGGGAAATATGGCAAATAACCTCGACTAAGCACTTTTTTAGCTACAACTGCCTCTGCCTAGTCCTAATTCTTATTTTTTCTCATTCCATTCTTCTCTCTGCATTTCCTGCTGAGTCTTACCACGTTCCCCTTCTCAGTGTCCTCTTCAGGCAGTAGGCTCAAAGCCTGGGTTACTGTCAGAATTTCTGGTCAGAATTTGTTATTCCTATTACAGTGTCATAAAATGCTCCCAGGCCTTCTCCTTTGGTCATCTGAACAGCTGATCACTCCCTGTTAATCATGTGAGAGAATGTCACCCCATTCTTCACTCTGGATGGTCTCATGTGGATCTCAGTCATCGTTAAAAAACAGACAGTACCTCTGCCTGCTGCTGGGAGTTTTGGCCATCAGATGAGAAATTGCTTCAATTAATCAACTTTTCACTGAGTTTCTAGAGATGGCAGCTGCACTTTCTGTGTTCATACCTGTGGCAGCTGACCCTGATAAATGGCTCCAAGAACATTTTCTGTGTCTCAGGTGAGCAGTGAATGCCCTGAATGCTGCAGGCACGTGGCAGAGTAGAACCAGTGCCTGGTCTGCACCTCCAAAACCCACTGGACTCTCACTCATCTCTGCTTACTAGGGCAAGGGATCCCACAGAACATTCTTTGGTGGAGAATGAGAAAGTGGCCAGACATTCGGGATATCCAGGGGACCTTTCTGCAGGCCAGAGGAAGGGAAAAGCGGCAGAAGAATTACATGTTGTAATTTTCTTTGTGAAGTGGTTGCTGAGACAGCTGTCAACGTGTCCCACAGTGGCAGCACGTGAACCTGTCAGCCTTAACTGTCCCATGCAGCAAGGGTACAGAGTGGACAGGGAAATCTGAGCTGTGGGGAGCACCAGCACAAAACCTGATGTTTACAGCAGCTGGAAATGAAATATCATCCTGCAGGAAAAAGGTGTCTCTTAGGAGATTATCTGAATGATCACAGAGTCCTTTGGATTGGAAAAGCCCCCTGAGACCCTCGAGTCCAATGGCACTCCCAGCACTGCCAAGGCCACCACTAACCCATGTCCCAGTGCCACATCTACAATAGCAATGCTCGTGTCACATTCACTATCCTGCAGCCAATCCCTTCCCCTGGGTTTTTATTCAAAAGTAGCAAGCATAAGGAAGTCTAAAATGGAGAACTTAAAAAAAAGGACAATCAGTGTAAGGTCTAATTTGGGGGAGAACCATGTGCTGCCCTTGACTTTTACTTCCCCCACACACTGATTTTAGAAATGCACTCATCAATCTCCTCTTCCTCATTAAGACTACAAAAATCCAGCACATGGGGCCTGATAAGCAGTCCAGACGTGTCCCATGTAACTGTAAAATGCAAAGAATTCCAATCCTGCAGGGTTTGGAGGTGAATTTCCATTGCCTGGAAAGTTTTGGTTGCCAGAAAAATTATGCCTAGAACATGGGTAAATCTGTCCTGAGCCACAACCCTGCTCTGACACAAGCATACAGACATTTCCACACTTACAGAATCTCAGAATCAGAGACTGATTAGAGTTGGATCAGACAGGTTAGAGTTGGAAAGGACCTTCAAACCCATCTTGTTTCACCCCCCTGCCATCTTCCAATAGACCAGGTTGCTCCCAGTCCCATCCCAGTCTTGAACCTTCTAGGAATGGGGAAAACAACAACTTTTTCCTTTGGCATGCAATTTCCCATAAACCATATGAAGAGCAAGACCTTTTTCCCCCCTCAGAATACTCCTATTGCCAGGTCACAGCAAATCCAACTCTCTTTTTACACCTCAAATGCAACTATAAAGTCCCTCGGGTAAATAGGAGTGAGACCAAAATGAAAACAACTTTCTCTCCCTAAAATGCAGCTCCCTTGTGTCCATCTAATGGGGTTGGGACACACTCTGCTCTCCTGCCTCCTGATCCAGGGAGAACATCTGCACAGGGAATGGGAACTGGTGCTCAGCACTGCTGCCACTGTCACTGATCTGCTTTGGGGTAGTTTGCTGTTACTGACCTATTTTTGGCCTCTCTTGCAGCTGAGCTTATTGCAGCTTCCACAAATTAGATGTTTTCAGCAGCAGAAGGATGTGATCAGTACTTCTGCTCCTTCACAGGTGCCTCTTCCCTTTCTAACTGTCCTAGATGGAGAAGCCAATCCTCAGGCCAGGCAAGATCCACAATTGACCCCTATTGACCCTGGCCAATTTAGAGTGAGCAACACAGAACCATCCCCTTCCTGTCCTCACACACCAGTCCTGAGGTCTGTCGGGCTCACACCTATGGAAAACTCAGCAAGTGCCAGCCCGTGTGCCTGTGCACGCCTGTCCACACGCATCTGTCCCTGCTCCTGCCCGTACGTGCACGGCTGTGCCAGGGCTCGTGGGCCGTGTCAGCACTCAGAGCACACCCAATCCCTGTGTGTGGAATGCAGGGGCCTCGGGAGCCGCTTCCCAGCTCCTTGCCCATCGCAGACCTCGGCCCTCACAGCACATCCCCTCTGTCCCAGTCTCACCATACATCCCATACATCCCTCACCATACAGTATCCCTGGTCCAAACAGGAGACCGGCTTGGGCTTTGTTATGGGGAGCTCAGTCGGGTTGCAAGGCTCTTCCCAAAGAATGAGGCTGAGTTTGGGAATATCCGCTCCTGAGGGATTTCTCAAAGGGGAATGGACACAATTGTGTGAAGTGTTTGATAAGCAATTTTGATCTGAGGACAGAAGGGTCCCTTCCCTTTCCATCCTGGGCACAGCTGGGACATTCCAGGTCCCTTCCCTCACCATCTCCAGTCCCTGCTGCCTGTACTGGGACATTCTGGGTCCATTCCTTTCCCATTCCCAGACCCTGCTGCGAGCACTGGGACATTCTCTTGCCCCCCTTGCCTCTCTCATCTCCTTCTGTCTCTCTCCCTTCCTGCCATCATGGCATAACTGGGAGCTCCTGCCACTGAAGCCCTCCTGGATAGAAGCAGCAACCTCCTGCCCATGGATTGCCTATAGAATTCCCTGTCCCAGGTGCCAGGCACTGTGCAGAGGAGCAGGACAGGCCCTCCCCAGCCCTTGCCCTCCACCTCAGGCAGCCACACAAGTACCCCAGGAGGTACCTGCCCTTCTCCTACCTTACCAGGGAAGTCGGCCAGCTGGTGGGTAGGTAGTGGGTCGCTCTCTGGCTCAGGCGGCCATGCAGGTACCCACGAGGTCTCCACCCTTCTCTACCTTCCCAGGTGAGCTGGGGCAGGTGGTGGGTCACTGTCTGCTCACTTGGACGTGCCTGCAACCTGATTCACCTGGGAGCCAGGCGAGCGAGGCTCCACCCAGGGCAGAGCGGGGGTGAGTAACAGCGAGAGAAAGGCAAACTCCGGAGAGCTGTTCCCTCCCCAGGCGCGCAGGGAGCCAGAGATAAGGGCTGCGCATTCCTGAGCCGCCGGAGGCCTCTCCCTTCCGTCTGCCCCGAGCCTGTCAGACCAGCTCGGCACTGGCAGCGGGGCAGGGCTCGCCGCAGCCCCGCTCCTGTCCCGGGCCGTGACACGGACCCCAGCCCAGCCCCGGTGCTGTCCCGGCCCGTGACACGGACCCCAGCCCAGCCCCGGGCCCAGACCGCGGCCCCCAGCCCCGGGCAGGGCCCCTGGGCGCTGGCCCCAGCTCGGTCGTGGCCCTGCGGCTCCCAGGAGGGGGCATTTGGGCTCCTCGGGCACTTGTGGTGCTCTGGGCGTGTTGGGGACAGACGAGCAGCAGCTCCTGGGCAGTGGCACCGTGGATCAGGAGGGGCCGGGGCAGCGCCCTCTCCCCGTGTCCCCGGGGGTGCCGTGGAAGCGGCTCTGAGGGGACAGCCGCGGCCTCCCGTCTCCCCCCATCACCGTGCCCGCTCCCGCAGCCGGGGCCCCGCGGGCAGGGAAGGGTTAAGCGAGATTCCCCGCAGCCCCGGGCGTGGCAGCGCCTGTTCCACCTTTCATGTCCCAGCTCGTCCCGCCCGGCCGCCGCCGCCGTGAGGGCCGGGCCGGCGGTGACTCAGGCGGGGCGGGGGGTCCGCCGTGAGGGAGGGACGGAGGGCCGAGCAGCCCGGCCGGGGTGTCTGCGGTGCGGGGACAGGCTCGGGCTCCTCTGAGGGGCTGCAGCGTGCCCAAGGAGGGAACAGAGCTGCGGGAGAGTCTGCAGCGCTGGGCTGAGGGAGCTGGCGGCTCAGCCTGGAGAAAAGGGGGTCAGCAGGGACCTTCTCGCTCTCTACAGCTCCATAACAGGAAGGTAGAGCCGGCGGTCAGGCTCTGCTCCCAGTTAATAAATGACAGGATGAGAGGTCATGGCCTCAAGCTGCACCAGAAGAGGTTTAGGTGGGATATTTGGAAAATGCCTCCTGGAAAGGGCTGTCCAGCCCTGGCAGAGCTGCCCAGTCCCCATCCCTGAGGAGACTGAACAGTGGAGTGGATGTGGCACCTGGAGACATGGGCTAGTGCTGGTCCTGGGAGTGCTGGGGGAGCAGCTGGACGCAGTGATCATTGAATCATGGAACGGTTTGGGTTGAAGGGACCTTACACTTTATCCAGTTCCACCTCCCTGCCATGGACACCTTCCACTAGCCCAGGCTGCTCCAAGCCCTGTCCAACCTGGCCCTGAACACTGCCAGGGATGGAGCAGCCACAGCTTCTCTGGGCACCCTGTGCCGGGGCCTCACCACCCTTACAGGGAAGGATTTCTTCCCAACATTCCAACTAAACTCACCTCTGGCAGTGGGAAGCCATTCCCCTTGTCCTGTCTCTCCAGGCCCCTGTCTAAAGTCCAGATCTCTTGGAGTCCCTTCAGGCACTGGAATCGAGGAAACGATTCATCAACGGCTTGGCTTCTCTTCTGTGGGCAGAACACTTCTGCTCTCTAATGGAATGTAGTGTTGTCTTTGTTTGCATCTTTGATATAATCCCTCTTCTGTCATCAGGAAACTGCAAAGGATCTGTTTTGAGGCCCCAAAAATGATGGTGTTGCTGGCAGTGACATGGTTTTGATATGGCTATTTAAGGCAGGACCTATCAGACTGAACACTGCTGACAGCTGGTGACAGAGGTGGCTGTATCAGCACCGGCCATCCCAGAGACCTTGGAATGGTGCCACTATGTACATGGGGGTAATTCAGACCTTCCAGGCCAAGATGAACTGCAGCTAAACCCCACTGGATACAAGGGAGCTACACCATCTATCTGGTATCTCACAGGTAAACTTAGATTGGATAAGCAGTGCCCCTGTGATTCTGAATGAGCTGAACCAATCCTGCCTGTAAGGAAAGCCAGTTTCAACATGAGTTTGGAGCTTTTCCTTGTGTGATACTGAAATATGAATTGGTGAAATCCCTCAGAAAGTCAGGTTTAAACTGTTTCATTAGTTTTTCTGCAAGGTTTCAGTGTATGGCTTTACAAACCTTTTATCCTTAAATAATGATGATTTGTAGTAAAAGTGTGGAATTATCCATAAAGGAACTTAAAATCTTCATGAACTTTGGCTTTTAGATTCTATCAGCCAGCAAGGACCTGTGTGAGTTATTCCCAGATGTTATTAAATCCCAGTAAAAACACACTGGCCTTCCCAGAGCCTGTGGGATAACCCTACACTCTTGTTTCAGCCTTCATCTCACACCAGTTTAATCTACTTCATTAAGTCTCATAGCCTGTATTTGAGTAAAGTATTTCTCAGTAAGTAGATACAATCATCACCTTTCAGTCTTCTCACTATTAAATAGAAAACATTTTAAACCTCTCATTTTCTCTTTTCCAAATCTCTTAAAAGGTATTGGTGGACCTTTTGTGTTCCAGCTTTTCAAAACTAACTTTCAAATCTGAATATCAAACAGGATGCTTTTACTTTCAGTTTCACTACTGCTGTATACACAAACACGTCACCAAGATTTTATTGGAGTAGGTTTGACTTCTCCTGAGCCAATTTCTTTTGCACTCCAGAGTAAATATTACCTGGAATTGCTGATTTTAAAGCTATTCCTAATGCAATAAAAAGGCCTGCATCCTTCCACTTGGGAATTAGTAATAAAGTTTTGCTGCTTTTCTATTCTGAATGTTGGTTGTGTTTATTTTCTTGTATTATTTCCAAGATAATATTGGTTATTTTAGAGAACCTTCTTTCCCTATAAATGCCATGTACGTGTGTAAGTGGTGTTTGTTTGGTTTTCATGAATTACAACGTGTTTGCATTGTTACACTGGATTAGTGCAGCAATCCAAACTGGGTAATTACTGTTTGTCACCAGTGTCTCACCAGGCTCCCTCTGCCAACGGCATTCAAACAAAGCACACTCGTGTCCCAGATTGATGATGTCTGGATTAACCACACGGGGTAAAACAAAGTGTGTGGAATGAGGTGAGACCTAACTTCAGATTGTGGTAGCTGCTTCTGCTGGGACTGCAGCTCTCAGAGACAGCAGAGCAGGAAGGGAACACCCTGAGCAGGGGAGCAGGAGCAGGGAGACAGCCTGAGGAGGTGGGGAACAGCTGGGAGAACACCCTGAGCAGGGGGGGAACAGCTGTGAGAACACCCTGAGCAGGGGGGCAGCAGCAGGGAGAACACCCTGAGCAGGTGAGAGAACACCCTGAGCAGGGGGGGAACAGCTGTGAGAACACCCTGAGCAGGTGAGAGAACACCCTGAGCAGGGGGGCAGCAGCAGGGAGACAGCCTGAGGAGGTGGGGAACAGCTGGGAGAACACCCTGAGCAGGGGGGGAACAGCTGTGAGAACACCCTGAGCAGGGGGCAGCAGCAGGGAGAACACCCTGAGCAGGGGGGCAGCAGCAGGGAGACAGCCTGAGCAGGGGAGCAGGAGCAGGGAGAACACCCTGAGCAGGGGGCAGCAGCAGGGGGAACACCCTGAGCAGGTGGGGAACAGCTGGGAGAACACCCTGAGCAGGGGGGCAGCAGCAGGGAGAACACCCTGAGCAGGTGAGAGAACACCCTGAGCAGAGGGGGAACAGCTGGGAGAACACCCTGAGCAGGGGGGGAACAGCTGTGAGAACACCCTGAGCAGGGGAGCAGGAGCAGGGAGAACACCCTGAGCAGGGGGGCAGCAGCAGGGGGAACACCCTGAGCAGGTGGGAGAACACTCTGAGCAGGGGGCAGCAGCAGGGAGAACACCCTGAGCAGGTGGGCAGCAGCAAGGAGAGCTCTGCTGCAGTTCTCCCTAGGAACCAGCACAGCCCACGTGTGTCAGACAGGTCATACCCTCAGTTTTGGCAACAGCCTGAACAGGAGCACTGCCAGGGGTCTCAGCAGTGATCAAAAGGGGGTTGCACAAGTTTGTGTCCTCAAGTGCCACCGAGCTGTTCCAAGAATATCCCCACATGATGGGATATGGCACTCAAGCACGTGGTTTAGGGGTGAGCATGATGGTGCTGCTGGGCTGGTGCTTGGTCTTGGTGCTCTCACAGGTCTATTGTGACTGTAATGATTCAGTGATTCCATGATTTTAAAACTGAAATCCTGGAAATCTGACCGGATGGGAGCTTGGCTTCTGGTAGGTTTAGCTGGGATACCGGGAGGAAGTTCTCCCCTGTGAGGGTGTGAGGCCCTGGCACAGGGTGCCCAGAGCAGCTGTGGCTGTCCCTGGATCCCTGGCAGTGCCCAAAGCCAGGCTGGATGGGACACTGGGCAGGAATTGTTCCCTGGGAGGGTGGGCAGGCCCTGGCACAGGGTGCCCAGAGCAGCTGTGCATCCCTGGCAGTGCCCAAAGCCAGGCTGGATGGGGCCTGGGGCAGCCTGGGACAGGGGAAGGTGTCCCTGCCATGGCTGGGGTGGGATTAGATGGGCTTTGAGGTCCCTTCCCACCCAAAACGTTCCATGGTTCTGTGATTACCACACAGCCCCTGGCTCCATCCACCAGTGAGGCGCTGGCGCTGTGATCACTGCCAGGATGTGAGGAACAGACACATTACCTGCCCCAGAGGCACCACAAGCACACACAAGGTAATCTGGACAGCAGGACCTCATTCCAGAGCTGCTCCTCTAGCAGTGCAGATCCATGGGCTCTTTGATAGTGGAGAAGGTGGTGAATCTTCCCCTTGACTCCACACGGGTGACTCATCCCAGCTGCCACTCTGGGTTTGATCTGCTCAGGCTCTGCATGTGTACAGATTATCTGGGTTAAGTGCAGCTTTGCTTTTGCCCTTTATCTGTCTGCTCTGAAGCTGTTTAACATGATCTGCCTGTTTTCATGCCAGCTCAGTTTCAGGAGTCCCAGGCACTGACTGGCACTGAGCACTGGCTGATTGTTCTGCAGTGACCGCAGGCTTGGTCACTCATCTCACAGGTCCCCAGTGCAATTCCTACCCCTGCTGTGCTGACAGAATTGGGAAAGTCTCTTCAGTGTTGCACGAGTCATTCCCCTCTAGCTCTTCACAGTGACTTTTTTATTGTGGAGAAATCCCACATTATTCTAACAAGCAGAACCAACATCTGCATGGAACTCTGGGTGTGGGAACAGAAATGTGGTCTTGCACAGTTTCACTGCTAGAAGCTGTTTGCTTTTTTAAAGAAAACTGCCTTCAATTAAAGGGGCTGATGAGGAATAATCTGCGAAGAATCAGTGTTGTATTTATACAGCAGCACTGTTTGGGGACCAGGCAGGAAGTTGTTGGGAGGGTTTGCTGTTTTGTTCTTTACCAGTGCTCAGCCCTGGTGGCTGTCCTTTCCTTCTGGGGAAAACCCAGGAAGGGTCCTTGCCCTAAGGAAGGAAAGTCCCTGGGATCAGGTCACCTGGCCTTAAGCAGGACCCCACTGGAGGGTCCCCCGTGCAGACAGGGGGATTCAGAACATCCAGTATGTCCTGAGTAAGAAAAAACCCAGACCTGCTTGGCTGGGCCAGTCCCCACTCCCCCTCAGGAACAAGGACATCCCGAGCCAGAGCTCACCCTGCACTGGCAGGGCCTCTGCCTTCAGTAGTCACAGAGACACATTCTAATTCCAGAGTGGTTGCAGTTTGAACCTTCCTTCTGAGGGGACGAGGTGCAGACACTGATCTCTGTCGTCACCAGGGAGAGGCCTCGAGGGAACGGCTGCAGCTGTGTCAGGCGAGGGTTAGGCTGGATATCAGAGAAAGGTTGTGCCCCCAGAGGGTGGCTCAGCGCTGGGATGGGCTCCCCAGGGAGCTCGATGGCGTCCGGGGTCGTGTCAGCACAGCCCAGCTCAGCTCAGCCCGGCTCAACTCGGCTCAGCCGAATTCAGCTCAGCTCAGCCCAGCCCAGCTCGGCTCAGCCCGGCTCGGCTCAGCCCAGCCCAGCTCAGCTCTCTGTGACTCCGTGACTCACCCCCACTGCTGCGGGAGCACAGACAGGGCAAACACGGCCGGGCAGTCAGGGGCACTCACTGTGTGCCTGCTCCGTCCTCCCTGAGGAGAAACAGCCTCACTGCACAGCGGCTCCTGATTTAAATGCTGGTTTAGGGTTATTAAATAAATGAGGAGTCACCAGAACTGCAGCTCAATGGTTTCTGCCGGCACAGAGCTGCACCTTTCCATAGGCGGTGCGCAGCACGGGCCCTGAGCCGCTCCCGGAGCCGTTCAATCCCCGCTCCAGGATCCTCTCCCGGGCTCCGCTCGGCCCTCGCCGGGCTGGGCCTGGGCTGGGCTCGGCCTGGGCCCGCCGCTGTCGCGTCACTGTGGCGTCACCGGGGAGCGTCAGCGCGCAGCGGCACGTGATGACGTCACCGGGCAGGGCCGCGCCCCCGCTGCTCCCGGCCCGGCCCGGCCCGGCCCATCCCATCCCCGCCGGTACCGCCGCTGCTCCTGGTCCGGCCCATCCCCGCCGGTACCCCCGGTGCCTCTCTGCCCCCCGGGGAGCTGCGGCTCACGGGTGGTGCACACCGAGACGGGAGGCACCGGGACAGGAGGGCCCGAACCGGGAGCGGCCTTGCCCAGGGCCCGTAGGAGTGGAGCGAACGGTGGCGGCGGTGGGAGCTGTGCCATGGGACGGCCTGCCGGGCTCCGGGCTCTCTGGTCACTGCTGGTGGCTGAAAGTACAGAATCAACTAAAACTACACCTGGCATGACCAGAGCGGCACTGAGCGGAGCTCATCTCCTGCAGCTGCTGCTCTCCAGAAGCAGCTGCCGCTCTCCAGAAGCAGCTGCCGCTCTCCAGAAGCAGATGCCGCTCTCCAGAAGCAGCTGCTGCTCTCCAGAAGCAGCTGGTGGCCCCTGGGCAAGGCTGGAGATCAGCATTCCCCAGCCTCGGGCTGTCCCAGGTGTTCTGGGGGCCTGACTGACAAACAGGTGAGTTTGTTGTGGTTTGGAGCTTCCAGGACAGCCCCTCCTGTCTGCTCAGGGCAGTCCTTGAGCAGAATCCCAGAGTTATTCCAGCCTGTTCTGTATGGGGGAAGTGCACGAAGGACCAACAATGCCATCCCTCAGCTCACAGGCCAACGCCAGGCAGGACTGACTCCTGGGACCAGAACTGGCATTGGGCGGGATCAGAGGGGAGGGCAGGGCAGGTTCACAGCTGGAGCTGTGTCCAGATGTGACATTTCCCACCCTCATCTCCCAGGGCCTGGCTGTGAGTCACTGCTGTTGTCAAGGCTGCAAGAGTTCCTTGCAAACCCTGCAGCCCAGCCAGCTGGGCTCTGCTCTTTGCCTGGGCCACCTTGCAGATCATTCTCCCCATGTATTGAGCTGGGTTATTTGTATTCCTATTTACATAAATAATAGAATCATAGCATGGTTGGGCTTGGAGGGGGTCTTACAGACCATCTAGTTCCAACCCTACATTAATCATGCCTAAATAAATATCCCCAAATAAACAATCCCCACTGATGATGTTTCTGGGTTTACTTTTGTCTGAAGGGGTAACTACTTCCCATCACCTAATCAGGGTCCAGTTTTGGGGGACAAATGATACACACTAAGAGAGGAGCCTGGCAGTAAGCCTAGCCCAAGGGAGAGAGCAGATAAATAAACAAATAAATCAAACACAGCCCAGGACCCGAGCACAGAGCCTGTGTGAAATTGGCAACTGCAGCTCTGAGCCCTCACTGACCAAGGAGCAGGCAGTGCCATGGCCAAGGCCCCTTTTCCAGCTGTACCTGTCACACAGGTGGAACACTGAGGCTGAGCTCTGGCACCACCCTGGCTCTAGGAAAAGGAAATCCACAATTCACCTTCTTCTGAGACTGCTCCTCCTTCCCTGGGGTGGCACAGCATGGTGCCCATCCACTGAACCAGGCTCAGGAAAACCTGACTGAGCTACAGGAAATGGGGTTGGTTTTTACCAAACTATTTTTAAAAACTTTAATAATATAAACAAAAGAATGTTGGACCTTTCTGGTTTTTTTTTTTTTTTTGTTTGTTTTTTTTGTTTGTTTTTTTGTTTTTTTTTGTTTTTTTTTTTTAACCTCACCAAATAAGCCAAGAGACTGAAGATCTTGCTGGTGTCACTGTGTTTTATATTGGGTTTTTTTCCCCATCCCTGAATATTGATATTCTCAGCTGGCAGTAACTGGGGTGTGCATCAGTTCCTGCTCCCAAAGGCAGGAACACCAGGAGCATCTTTGCTGGATTATGCAGGGAGTAACGACCACCAGCAGAGCCTTATACTGAAACTGCAGACTTGACACAGGGCAAACCACTGTGACTAAAGGCTCTAAAATGTAAAGTAAACTTTATTATCCTTGAACCACAAAATAGATTTCTTTGGTTGTACAAATTTCACTAGTTACAGTCTTGATGCGCTAATTTTCCCTCGGAGTCTCTTGGGAGAGAACGGGAGAGAATCCAGAGCCTGGCACCAGGTACCGCACAGGGAAAGGAGAGAAGAATCACAAGTTAGTCACCAAAACCCAGCCAGGATTGTTTCCAAAACTGCTCTTGTTAAAAAGCAAATGCTAAAATTAGATTTAAAAAGGAAAAGCTCAAATTGCTGATGATGGAGGCAGCTGCAGCTGCAGCATGAGATTATCAGAGTTCCCCTTCACAAGTCTGTAAAATCAAAACGTACAGAGTCAGTTAAAATGATCCGCTGGATTTTGGCATGAAAGGAGAGGCTCAACTAAAAAACTGCACCCAAAAAACTGCATCCAGCTCTTTCCTTCAGCAAATGTACAAGCAGATGTGCCTGTCAGTGCCCAGCCACTGTGAGGCTCAAGGTCCAACCCTGGTCTTACTGGGGAGTCAGAGAGCACCAATGGACAGGGAAGGGGATTGTGCCGAGCTGGGACCTTCCTCACGGTGAGAGGCAGTGATAAAAAGAAAAAGGGTTGTTTCCCCTCACTAGTGGCAGCAGAGGCTGATGGCAGAGTTGGGAGCAGCAGCTGTGACCTCCACGTCTGCAGAGCTCACATGATTCAGAACCTGTGGAAACCAAGGCTCACACCCCCACTCATTTTCCTTTTTCCCTCTTGTGTGGGCAAACGTGCATTTTCCCTGTCCTCCATGGGAAGGGGCCTGAAGCCACTGAGCTGGCAAAGTGGAACTGTGTGGTTATTGCAAGGCACAGGCCAGCCCCATCCTGCTCCTGGTGCTCCCTGCCAGCCCACACCACAGCAGGCACCCCGTGACATCCCACCCCAGCCTACAGCCCGCACTGTGGGCACTGTGCACTCCCCATCTCCATGTGTAGGATCCTGTAACTCCCAACCTGACCCCAGCAACTCCACATTCTACCCATCCCCAGGTCCTGAACTCTACCCACTAAGGTACCTGCTGTCACACCTCCCACCTCTGCCCCCTGTCCTGCCCCACTGCTGCCACACATCCCTACACCCCTGCTCTGGCTGCCAGCCCCAGCCCATTCCTGCCCCAGTGCCCAGTTCAGCCCCAGTGCCACAGGAGAGGCTCCTCCACTCCTGTGCTCTGCAGTGGTGACAAAGGGGACGTGCCCATCCGAGGTGGGAGCTGTCCCAGGACAGCACAAAGCCCCAGCAGGAGCAGAGTCCCGCCAGGACAGAGGCAGGTGGCACAGAGCTGGCTCTGCTTTCCTTGAGCACAGAGTGCCAGCGGCAGAGGGAGGCACTTTGCTGGAATTCTGCTGGGTTTATCTCTTTTTTTTCCTTCTTTTTGCCTCCAAGCTTCCCGTTCCCAAACACTCCCAAAGGGAAGTGAGGTGACACAGTGCAGGAGCTGGGAGGAGATGCTTTTTGGCAAAAGACTGGAAATTAAATAGGAGTAAAGGCAGGCTGGACCTTCCTCCTGATTCCCACCAGAGCAGAAGCTCCTTTTAACCACTACAAAACCCAAGCTGAGGCAGTAACAGCTGGAGCCCAACACACTCTCACACTCCTACATTCTCCCTGTCCTACTCTTCCCCACACACAATATTTACAGGCTAAAAAGCTGCCCACTGTCCTGGCCACCCTTCCTCTCCATCTGCCAGCAGTCAGTCCAGTGTTGTCCCAGTTTTGGGATGTGCCCCAGTGCACTGTTGGGTGAGAGACGAGGGCGGCTCACAGCCCCAGAGGAGTCAGCTGGCCACAGAGCTCCCGGGGAGCTCAGTCCCATGCGGAATCTGCAGGCAGGGGGGCAGCCTGCTGCTGTCCCTGGAGCTCCCGAGGGGGCTGTGCCAGGCCAGTCCAGTGCCAGGCTGTGCCAGGCCAGTCCAGTGGCCAGGGTCACCTATGTGGGGACAGCGGTCTCCAGGCTGCGCCGGCTGTGCCGGAGCTTCCTCTTGCTGCTGTACAGGGCCATGTCCTCCAGGGCTGAGGGAGCTGCTGCCGATGGATCCCCCGCTCCCAGGGCCTCCTCCTCCTCCTCCTCCTCCGGCTGCCCGTCCTGCTCCCGGGGAACTGCAATGACAAGAGGGGTTCGCATCTGAGGACAAAGCCCTGGGCTAAGTCAGGGAAATCCTGAGAGGAAATCCTTCCCTGTGAGGTGCTGAGGCAAAGGCTGCCAGGGGAGCTGTGGCTCACAGCAGCCCAGTCTGATGGAAGGGGTCCCTGCTCAGGGCAGGCGTGGGACTGGGAGGTCTGAAAAGCCCCTTCCCAGCCAAACCATGCTGTGATTCTGGCAGCACACAGCTGGCACAGCTGGCACAGTTAATGCAGATGTCAAGGCTATCATAGGATGACAGAATGGTTTGTGCAGGAAAGAACCTTAAAGCTCATCCCATTCCACCCCTGCCACAGGCAGGGACACCTTCCACTGTCCCAGGCTGCCCCAAGCCCTGTCCAGCCTGGCCTGGAACACTTTCAGGAGTGTTCCAGGGTATTCCCAGGTGCTGGATTTGGGACAGCACTGGCCTCAGTCACTCACAGTAACTCCCTGGTGACCCACAGCTCGTGTAGGAGCACTGTGGGTGCTGGGGAGGAAGAGCCATGGGTGAGAAGACACCTGCCTGCAACAGCCCTGGTTCCCTGAATGTGACTGAAGTGCCAAGCTGCATGGAACACTGAGTGTCCTGAAATGTCCTGAGTGTCCTTGTGCTCTCCAGAGCAGGGATCCACCCCAGTCCAGGTCTGCAGGGCTGAGAGGCCCCTCTGCCACAGAGCAGGAGGAGAGCCTGGGGCACAGACTGGCCCAGCTGGCCAGGAGGGCTTTAAACTCAGGGGCACCACATGCATGGTGGGGCAGCTGCTGTGCCTCAGGTGTTGGAATGGGAGGATCCAGACCCTTAGGGAAGGACAGGGACAGTGAGGTGAGGGTCACCCCTTATGTCATGCCCAGCTGGACGCAGGGGCTGCTCTGACCACAGCTCTCAGGTCAGGACTGCAGAGACAGGTGACACTCCTGACCAGGGACAGCTGACATCCTGAGGATGAAAGCACAGGCATTGCCACTGGGATGAATCCAGAGATTCCAGTTTTGTGTTGGCATTTTGATGAGAAAGAACCTGTGAAATGCAAGTCTGGAGAAAAACAGGATGGATGCAAGTCTGTCACCACCATATTTTCTGAAAAATCCTCTTTGCCCAGGATTCTTCTCCTGGGAAGCTGAGAAGCCTCAGAGAAAAATGAAAACAATAATTATCTGATTGCTTCTCCTGTGTTTTGCTGCTTTGGAATGTGTTTGGAGATTGTTCATTTAACAGGTGGTTGTTTCATTGGTTTCATGTGAATTGATGAACAGCAGCTGTGTTGAGGCTCTGGAGAGAGTCACAAGTTTTTCATTAGTATCTTTTAGCCTTCTGTAAGTATCCTTTCTCTATTCTTTAGTATAGTTTTAGTATAGTATTCTTTAATATCATAGAGATAATAAAATAATAAATTAGCCTTCTAAGAACATGGAGTCAGATTCATTCCTTCCTGCCACAGGGGACCCCAGAAAATACCACACAAGTCCTTGGAGTAGTGATGTGGCTAAAAAGGCTGGACAGGGATAAATTAAAGCCATGGGAGGACAGAGAGATTTAAATTAAAGCCACACGAGGGCAGAGAGTGTCAGAGCTGCAGAGTTCATTGGCCAGCAGCAATTAGGGCAGGTGCAGGATGCACCTGTGGCAGCTGCTGCCCACAGCAGACAGCCCAGGTGGGCAAGGAGCCCAGGGAAAAAGCAGCTCCTCACATCCCACAGGCAGCTTTCCAGCAGCAGGAGCAGCACACAGGCATCAGGGGAGGTTCTGCAACCTCAGGGCTACAGGACTGGGAAGCAAAAGTCTCAGGTGATCTGGAGAAGTCATGCCACAGCAAAGGGAACACTGCTTGGTTCCACCCTGAAAATGCTGCTCTGCAGTTCAGTAACTCCACAGCCTCATGGAAACCTTGCAATAAAGGTTTTTAAATCCCTTTAAGAGATGATGACCATGAAGTCAGACCAGAGAATGGGGGGACCTGTTTCTGCATGGGCAAGAGGACAGGGGTGTGCTGGGAGGAGTGAGATGCCAACACCTTCCTGCAGTGGGATTTCCTCAGAGTTCCTGATGTAGTGGCTTGCTAGCACAAGGTTTCAGAATTGCTGTGAGTCAAAAAGCCATAATTCCATGATCCAGGACCATTCTGATTATGCTGGCTGGAATGCTGCACTGCCTGGGAGAGAGAGAGGGGATGGGGGGCTCTGAAAAAGCCAGGAGAGCTGCCTGGCATCCCCACCTCCATCCTTTCCAGATCATTGGGGAAGACCTGCTGGTTTGTGTGCCTCACACACATCACAGGTGATTTCAGCATCACTTCAGGACTCAGGGCTGGGTCTCTCATGAGCACCACATTTTCTTTCTGGCTTTCATCCCATTTGAAGGCCAGCAGAGCAGGGACAGGCAGCAGTGAGCTCTGGGTGTCCTGAGCAGCAGCTGCTATTCCCCAGCCCTTCCCTGAGCTCTCATCCCTGCACTGCCTGAACCAACGCCCTCAAGAGAATAACCCAGAGCTTAGAGGATGACTCTGAGGGATGAAG